ATCTATAAGGTAGGTTATTATACCTATAGTAAATCAAATTAATTATGTAACTTAAAAATGTAGAGATGACTGTTGTCTCTATTTCACGATTCGAACTCGACTGTTTGGCTATGCCAGTGATTTATATTATCGTACTCTACGTTCCTGTGTTCTGTCTACCTAAGCAAATTCTTCATGCGCGACATAAATGACGCGTCAGTAATCTGTAAATCGTTACAACCTCAAACAGAACTAGTTTATTATGATGATCCGAATAAACTAGTAACTAGATTAAATCTTTTAGCATCATCACAAAGTGTTGGTAATACTGGTGTAAATAACGAAATTATATCTATTTTAGAAGAATTACGTGAGAGAAATATTATAGTCTTATGACAATATTAGAGAATATAGCTGATGAGCTACATCGACCAGCAAGAAAAATTAATCCTGGACGTAGCGTGGTAACATGGTTTATGGATGATCTTTGGCAAGCTGATTTAATAGATATGCAGTCACATTCTAGACAAAATAATGGTTTTAAGTACATTTTAATTATAATAGATACATTTACGAAGTTTGTATGGTGTGAGGCACTGAAAAATAAAACAGCAAAGGAATGTTCAAAAGGTATATTAAAAATATTTAAAAAATCAACCAAAATTATTACAAACAGATAATGGTACAGAGTTTTACAATAAAATATTTCAAAGTGTTATGAATAAGTACAATATTAAACATTATTCAACTTACAGCAGTATAAAGGCTGGTATGGTTGAACGGTGTTATAAGAACAATAAAAAATAAAATTTACAAACATTTTACATCAACAGGTTCCTGGAATTGGTACAATTCAATTTCAAAATTAGTAAATAATTATAATTATACAAAACATTCAACAATAAAATGTACACCAAAAGAAGCTCGGATCAACCCGATTCAAATAAAAACAAATACATTTAGAGACATCGCAGACTACAGACTTTATATCGGCCGGTAGTTTAGTCGAGTTGGGCTAGTATCGCGCACACTGGGCCAACTAAACAGTTTGGTTGGTAGTGAGTACGCAAACTAGCCAATAGTCAGCCGACTGCTCTGGAAAGATTTTCCTAGTTATACTAAATTCTGCTGACGATAGCAGTCGCTTTTTTAGTGTACCTTTCGCTTTAAAATGTTGTCAAGAAATGTTATTATTGCGTTCATACATCGAAGAAGGATTATGAAGAGAATGAAGAAGAGAAATAGAGAATATTGGGTGCATCCAATCTTTAGTATTAGATTATTGCATGGAAATTTTCATACATTGCATTCCAAATTATTGAATTTCCCAGAAAAGTTTTTTGGATACTATCGAATGAGCATAACCAGCTTCAATGAACTCGTCAAATTAATTGGACCAGCAATAGCGAAGGAGAATACACAGTTAAGACTCTCTATACCTGTGGAGGAAAGATTGAGTGTTATGATACGGTAAGATATACCACAAAAATTATTAAATCTCTTTTATTAAAGTTAAAAACCAGAAAACTAACTATATTGAAAAATAAATGATTATTATTATTATTTATTACATTATAAGTAAAAATATTATATTATAAGTATACTCATAAGTTATTTATTATAAGTCATATATTTCCGTATCATCTGAAAAATTAGAAAAATGGGAACGAACTGTATCATTAGAAATTTCTGGCGATGGAGTATTTTGAATGTCTTGAAACGTAGTCAGATTGTGTGGTATGGCAAAACCGGACGTATAATTTGAATGCTGAGATATTTGTGGTGGTGGCATGTTACTCCCTGGATGATATACAGGATAAGACAACGGTCGCTGTAAGACATTGTAGCTACTTGTTGATTGAGAACTAGTATCAAAACGCCTTGCTAGTGTTATTTGTTTAAAAATGTTAAGAATACCAATTTTAGCATCGAGTTTTTCCTCTGCGTTTAATTTCTGGAGTGATGGGACAAGAGATAAAGCAAAATTTGTATCTTCATCAACCGGCTGATTTAATGCTTTTATTAATGCTTCGTCCAACTCGTCTGGTTTCGATACATTAGTCCTCTTTTTCCGATGAGGAATAGGTGTTGAAGTGGTAGGGCCAGGGTCGTTATTGTCGTCTTCGTCTTCATGAGAATCATTTGGTTCCAGGTTACCTTCCGTTCGCCGATTTTCCATACAAGGAAGTAAAAATAATAATTTTTCAAAGTACACATATTTACGCCTCTTGGTTGCAGCTTGCCCTGATTTTGTGTTTTTTGGGGCGTTTAATTCTCTACGAAAACAAGTCCGTAAATTAGCCCATTTTTTTTGCACTTCATGACCTGAATAATAATGATAATAATAATAAGTGCAATATATATTGACCAAAAAAATTACATTTTTAAAAATTTCATTGTGTGTATAAAATATAACAATATACTCTAAAAGTTTCATATACCTCCAATCCATGAATAATATTTTTAAATTGCAACAAATTAACCAAAATAGTTATTATTGGTTTTAATTTGTAGGTAATTTAATCTACATTTGAATATAAAATGTCTGTACAAAATAACTGTATTAATTTATTTTTTAGATTTTTGATTACAGTATGAACTATTTATGAGAATCTTTGTTTTAAATTTTCAATCCTCAGTTATAAAAACTGAATAATTTATAATTTTTTAATTCTAATGATTGATAATAATGTTCGAGATTTTGATAGATTTTGACAAATTTTGAACTTCAAATGCCTATAAAAGTAAAATGTTTTTATTATTGTTAATGTTTTTAATATTGTTCAACTGCTATTGTAACGATGTATTGGGAGCCTTGTATTAAATATCCGATGTTTTAAGAATATAAACTTCAATGGTAGACAAAATTATGAGGAATCTTATATTACATTTTGAAAACTTAGATTTAAAAGTAAAAAAAAAATTTATAAATTCCTAACACAAAATAATTTGCAAATTTTCGTCATTATATTCGTCATACTAAAATAAGTCACGTGCAGGCCACTTATATTCAATAATAATTATTATTATTATTTACGTAGACTCTATTAGGTGGTGTACAAATATTGAAATTTGGATTACATATGTGTACAAAATACAAATAGAATAACAATTATTATCAGTAGACGTACGTGATAAAATAATATAATTAATTCTTTCCAGATATTTGGCTACCGGAGCTAGTTTTAACTCGTTGTCTTTTGAGTATCTAATGGGAGCTTCTACAATACGAGATATAACTAAATCTACATGTGAGCAAATATGGAACATACTTCAACCGTTATTTATGGCAATCAAACAAGAAGATGACTGGATTAAAATTGCTGACGAATTTTATACTCGCACAAATTTTCCCAATATCATTGGAGCGGTAGACGGCAAGCATATTAGGATGATACAACCAGAACATTCCGGAACATCGAATTTTAATTACAAAAAATTCTTCTCTTGCGTTTTAATGGCTTGGACAGATGCAGATTATAAATTTGTCGACATAGATGTTGGTTCTTATGGAACAGCTAGTTATTCAGAAATATTTAAAACATCTCAAATGGGAAAACGGCTTTCTGACAACCAGCTTAATATTAATTACCCCCGGGAGGCATTTGCCAAATGATGATGACGGAAATGTCATTCCATTCTCTGTCGTTGGTGATGAAGTGTTTGGACTTGGAAATCATATTTTAAGACCTTATGCAAAAAGAAATTTAAACTACACCAAGCGATTTTTTAACTATAGACATACAAGAGCTCGTCGTGTGGTTGAGTGTACATTTGGGATTCTCGCAAACAAATGGCGTATATTTCACCGCCCAATTGATGTGAATATCGATTTTTGTGTTCGAATTATAAAAGCCTGCTGTGTACGTTCGTGAACTTAGCGGCAATCATGTAACAGATTTCAATGAAACCTATCCAACAATTTTGTTGGACGTTTGTTGGACATTGTTGGAAAGGTTTTACAATTTGTTGGACCGTCATTAAAAAGTTATAAACATTTTTCCAAAACCGCCGCTAAGTTCACACTAACGGCCAACATTAAATCAAACACATAAAAAACTATACAAAATTGTTCTCCACGGTTTGTTGGACGTTGTTGGAAAGGTCCTGCCATTTGTTGGAAATCTGTTTATTTTATACGAATTTTTGAAAAAGTGCCGCTAACTTCACACCATCGGCCAACTTTTTTTTAAAAGTTAAAAAAGACATCCAAAACGGTTCTACATGGTTTGTTGGACGTTGTTGGAAAGGTCCTGCCATTTGTTGGAACTCTGTTTATTTTATACGAATTTTTGAAAAAGTGCTCCTAGACCAACCTTTCTCAAAAGTTCCAAAAGCCATCAAAAACGGTTCTACATGGTTTGTTGGACGTTGTTGGAAAGGTCCTTCCATTTGTTGGAACTCTGTTTATTTTTAAAATTGTTTATTTTTAAAGGAGATAACATTATAGTATACTATATATTTTTATGTAACAACATGTATAATTTATACCACATATTTTTAATTTTTTTTGATAATTCTCGTGTTTAAAAAATGTCAACAAACAAAATATAATATAGTTATTTATTATACAAACAAATAAATTATCAGTATAAAATTAAATTCCTAAACATAATAAAAAATGATGAAAAACAATATTTTCTTTTCTTGCATTAAGTTATAATGACATAAAAATTAATATTTATAAAATATAAAAACTTATGAAATCGAAACAAAATTTAATAAAAATATAATAAATGTATTATATATTATACTAACAAACAAGGTATAAATTAAAAAAATTACTTCTAACACGTACTAAAAACTTATAAAAAAAAATTTCTCTTTTCATAAATAAAATCCATACTTGCCTATAACATTTAAATTAATATTTTTAAATATTCAAAACCTTTGAAATCTTAATCAAAATAAAATAATTACCAATTGCATTATATAATAAAATAAAGCATTAATAAAAAATTGAAAGTTATTATTTTTAATGCTTTATATAAAAAATTGTTTGTGGTACTATACGCATTGTATCTTGAATTAAAATGTCGACTAAATTCATCGAAATCTCGAATGTTTTCAAATTGATTTTTACATAGTTAAAAATGTATAAAATATTCTAGAACGACAAACCGTCTCCGCTCAGAATCGTTTTTCGTATGCAATGATGTATCATTGGATTCAAATTTAACATCATCCATTACAGTTGCCCTCTATATCAGAGATTCCCGAAAGGTGGTCCGCGGAACCCCGGGGTTCCGTGGAAGGGCCTCAAGGGTTCCGCGTACCGTCCAAAAATTAAACAAAACTTTCA